TGATTTTTTCTATTTTCAAAATAAATTTTTTTGTCATATAGGCTTGTAGGCGTATCCTTTGAAAAGTTTACGCCACTTCCAAATTCTATTGCAAATTTATAGGTGATTGTAGACTAACTGGAAAATGTTTACCATATTTGGGCAGACTGACAGATGGTTCAGTGTATTCTAAATTTGAAATTGGCTAAAAAGTTACATACCTTGTGTGGTCTTTGAAGCTTATAAAAGTTTTGAAAAAAAAATTAAATTTTGTAATCTATAACTGCGGATAGACGCAGTCAATTCTTTCCAGCTTTGTACATATGTTACAGCCTCGTCCATAGAACATGCGTACAAATCTTTGCACATTTATCTGCTATAGTTTAAGAGCAATGAGCAAAAAATCAGTATCCTTTTTCTTTTGAAAAATCGAGGTGCCCTCAGCTTACGTAGTACTGTGGGCGTAGTACTCTAGGCGTCCTTCAACCAAATTGGCCCATTTTCAGTATTAACAGGAGTGTAAGCGATTTTAATGTTTCTGTAAAATTTAAATTCGATAGCTTCAGTTATGAAGCCAGAAGAATGCTTACAACAGATCTTATACAGACGGAAAGACGGACATGCTTAGGTGCATTCCATATTTGAAAATGGCTAGAAATTTAGAAATTGGGGTTTTCGGACATTGCCTCTACGCGTTATAAAAGTGTTGAAATATTTTGATATACTATAATATTCGGTAGGCGTGATCAAGAGTTACTATAGCATCGCCCATAAAAGAAACGTTCAAAGTTCTGCAAATTTATCAGCTGTAGTTTATGAGTAATCGTTAAAAAATCAATGCTGAAAAACAGTTGTGTTCTCAGTTTACGTAGTACTGTAGGGGTGCCCTTCAACTAACTTGGCCCGGACTTTCAATGTTTCTGCAAAATTTGAAGTTAATGACTTTGTTTATGCGGCTAGGAGAATGGTTACAATAGGCATTACGCAGGCCGACCGGGGGAAAGGTGGACAAACGGACACCGGAATGTATATACTTTGTTGAGTCGCTGAAGCTGCCTAGTCGGCGTTGCAAACGTTTCGATAAAGCGAAGAAACTCCACATATATAAAAGCAAGCAAGTAACAACACGTGCTTAAGAGGAAATAGTATTTTTTCTGTTCGGTACCTTACACTTAGCACATTTCGTAAGTGTTAAAATGGATCGAAAGAGCTACTCGTAGCACTCAGCGCTCGTACGCTCGGTACCTTACACTTAGCATACTTCGTAAGTGTTAAAATGGATCCAAACAGCTACTCATAGCACCTAAAGACTGTAAACAAACTCGTAAAGGTGAATATTTGAAAAAAATAGTTCGTATGACGTCACGATTTCTAATGAATATTGATATAAAATTTTACATAAACAGTCTCGAGACCTTGCATAACAATGATCTTTAACGACTCAGTGTTAAATGTTTCTCATATATCTTCGATTTAAATATGAATTTTTCAATTTTATCATTTATTTTCTATCTCTCTCTATCTCTCGCTCTGTCTCTTAACTGATTTCACGTTGAATGGCCAGCCTATATGCAAATCAAATGTAAAGATTTCTTTAATATGATCATACGAGTGAAAGGTACAAACAGATTCGATTATATGTCAAGAGCGCATTACATACATATATTTTGTTTTTTATTTTCTTTTTAAACAAAAATAATAAAAAAGTATCATTTTTCATTTTAACGCGCAAAACTCGGATACGATTTCATTTAATTCGATTTATCGAGTTAAACGAGTTTTTCACAGAAGTGTATAGATATTCCTTAAAAAAATAAAATTGACTTCACTGCTATTATTGTTTACGTCCAATGCAATGTTTAAATAGGGATAGATTTCACATTTCGAACGATGCGAATCTTCGATGCTTTGAAAAATTCATAATTTTGTTGGCATGAATAACGCGAAACAATGTAATCAATTCTGTCGATGCGCTTCATCCAGACAAGGATACCTCAACCTTTCTGTCTGCTAAGAAAAGCTGAAGCGGCATCCCCTCCCTTTTGTAACAAGTAAGAAATTTATATTCGAATGGGGATGAGTCCCGTATACCCACCAGCATTAAAATATTTTGCGCCCCATCTTTTTATTTATTGTCGTAAAAAAGTGAAAGGGGATAAAATTTATCTTTCACCCTTTACTTCGCTAAAATATATTCTTAAGAACAAGTAATCTACCATGTCGTTACGTCCATCATAACGTTACCACATTTAGTTTTGCGCGTTCTATTCTCCCGCCGCTTTTATGTGATACCCATATCAGTGGCGTCGTAATAAGAAGATGTATCCGCTGCTTCGTGACGCCCACCGTAATTAATTTAGAATTAACACACTTTTCTTGTGGCCTTCTACTCTTCGAGCTGCTTCATTTGATACCCATATCCATGGTTTCGTAACAAAAACATTAATCCTCTACGTCGTGACGCCCATAGTTACCATAATTAATTTAAAATTAACAGTCTTACCTTGTTGCTTCTACTCTTCGAGTCCTTTTATTTGATGCCCATATCGTTGGTATTATTAACAAAAAATTAATCCGCCAGGTCGTAGTGTCTAACATATTTATTTTAGAATTAATCCCATTTTAGGTAAACAACATATCTTTATTCTCCATTGTTCGTTGGATGCATGTTTTCAGAAACCATTAAGGTGAGGATAGAAATAGGCGAAATGTTGAAGAAAGGAAGTTCGTGCCATTCGCCAGTGGACGAAGATCCCGTGTCTATGTTATTCTCTAGTCTACACTTCGAGCCAACTTGTATAAAGTTCAAGAAGACTGGAAACTTTCCAGAATTTGAAATCCCTTCGTACTAGCCGGAAGACACCAGAAAGTCCCTTTGTCAGAGTTGACATTTGTGTTTCTGTCGAACGAAGAAAAGGATTTTCCGTCGAGCCTCCAGGCGGGCGAAGGGAGGATGTGAGAATAGCTACGTCGATCGGTTTTCTATTGCCATTCATGGCTTGAACTTACTTCACTGTTGAAATGTTGCATTTTTAGAAGAGCCATAGTTACTCCCGCATACGCCTCGCTTTTCACAGAGTTTGAATATGCTTTGCGTACGCTTTGCATGTGGTTTTCATATACTATGCGTTTTCTTTTCACATGCCTTGCACACGCGTAATTCTGTATCGTAGATATTTCATTTCCGGGAAGTTTTACTTTTTGTATTTAATTCAAAGAATAGTGCTGCTAGATCCTTATAAGTGATGAACAGTGGATGCATTACGACATCCAAAGCTCAAATGACGCAGATTAAGCGAACGGTTGGCGAAGCTAAACATCAATGGCGTCCGCATTTGAAATGGTTAGCTGAGAGTGATGTATTACAGTTAGTTCCAACTTGCAAGGAATAAAATTCTCGGGACGAGATAGGACAGTGCTTGTCCAAAGGTCTTCCTGCTCAAGAACATTTATTTCTGTGCGCAAGACTTTTACCAAAAGGACAAGGCTCAACTAATGGGAGTTCAAAACACTTACTAATCTGCAATTTCATAAGCAAACTTGTCATCTAGTTTTCATAGCATTATTCTTTAATTATGTTTAAATTATTGGTTTCAACTTTTATTTTCAAACAAATTACAGTTTACACACTCACATCCATCTTCACTTCCCTTTAATTTAGATCTACTTCTCTTCTTAATTGCTTATTAGTTCGATTAGCAATAATTTCTGTCACAGTCTTCTCCGTTATCACCCTCTAGTCTGTTCATGTAGTGTCTTGAGTATTTAGCAGCTTACATGCAACTCACTTTAGCTTTTTATGCATTTGTCTGAATACATCAGCCTAACCTATCATAGATGTATATTCCTACGCCACTGAGAAAGACGGAAACACCGACTTGATTTTGCCCCTAACAAACTAAATCAAATTGAAAATTGAAGCAATAATTGATGTAATTGCGGTAGTATAGGGAAATTGACTGTGAGAATGCGCAGACGATGCGTCCTTCCCTAAAGTGGCGCCTATGATAAAATGAGACATGTTTCAAACTCAATCTATCCCTACACTCACATTTTTTTTCCATCCAAATGAATTATCAAACAATTTTATGAAGTATTATTTTACATTTTATTAAAATTATTTTTTATTATTCTATAACACTTACTTTTGTTATTCCAATACTTTTTTATGTTACATAAGTGGATATGTGTAATAAAATGAAAAGTTAAATTAAATAAAATAATTAGTGATTCTCTAATAATTTTCTACGTATTCTCTACATGAGGTAGATAATTCGTAGAGAATGCGTAAACAATTCATAAAGAATACGCAGACAATTAGTTTTGTACACACTATCCACAAGGCATAGAGCATGAGTAGATAATGCGCGGAGCAAGTGTAGGCAATACATAGAGAGTACCACAGATCTCTAGTGATTCTTCATTCTTTTTTATGTATCACCTATACGACGTAGATAGTTGGGAGAATACCACGAATCTCCGGTGACTATATATAAATTTTTTATTCAAATTTTTCACGTTTGCGTGAAAGTCTTTTAATAAATACTTGTAATATAAATTTTTTTCGTTGCAAAGAGTACATAAAGTTAATAAGTGTAGGCTTGTAAAAAAATAAATACTAATGTAACATTAAATGAATGATTTAAAATCAATGGACTTTTGTCACAATCAATACATTCACAGATGTCCATACCTCTATGTGATTATGTGTCTATTTAATTCGGCTTTAATTCTTGATATTAACTTGATTTAATTTCGAAAAGAAAATAATACCTATGTCATCGGTAACGTTATATAACATTTACGATTTTATTTAAACTTTTTTTAATATTAAAAACGAAATTTATGAAAAATGTATATACAAATATTTCACAGCCAAGACTTGATCATCATTATTATCATCAATTTTTTGTTTTTAATATTAAATCGTTTGTTCCTATTAAAAATACTTCGTTAAAATTTGCAGAATCGTAAGCATATGCTAGCTAATTATCGTATTTGAGATAGCTTGTACGGTTATGTCACCATTGTTTATAACATTATTGTCATCGCTATCATCGTCATCGATACCCGATTCCGCATTGCACAGTAATGGCTACGCGTCTTCACTGTCGTCGATATCGTTCTCGATATCCGGATTGGTGGGAATTCTGAAAAAATAATACAACAAGTAACGATCAGAAATAGGAATAACAAATGATAGGGATATACAATAAATGACCGGCTATCCCGCCCAATACAATTCTACATCTACCTTCATCATAAAATACTGAAAATTAAACATTGACACAATATGATAGTTCACTTTTCATGCAATTTCGCCTTATATGTGGAAGTGAGTCGAATATTATCTAAAATTTAACCCATGGTTGCATTCTAGCGACCAAAGAATTTGTGTAGAAATCGCATATGCTCTAACAAGCATGTTCACTCTGTTGCCGCCGCAGATCAAGTGAAGCATCAATCACCATGTCTAGTGCTTCATACATTACATCTTTTCCATCGATCCATAGAACAAAATTCCAAAAGACATTGAAGAATCAGTCTGCACGTCTTGTACTTCATCAATTAACTCTGTAGCCTCGGAACGCAATTCAAGAAGACAATTCCTTTCCCCAGTTTAAAAAACCGTATTAATCTACAACTAGCTATTTTGGTCATGATCATTAATCAACCATTTACAAGACTATTTGATTCAGAAAAGCTAACAAGAATTTGGAAAATAAGCGTCGTATGGAGCTGTTAGCATTTGAACTTTGTGCGATATTTTAGAAAAATATCTGCACATCTTATCTTTTCGCAAAACTCTGTTCAAGCTAAACACCATTTTACAGTGAATGGACATGAATATGAATATTAAGTTTAGCTGTCTTTTGCCTTGTTAGCATTTGAAAGTACGTACCATCGCGTAAACAAAGTCAATAGTTTGACCGTTTATGATTACAAATATAAAAAAAAAAAGAAGCAGAATCTAGGCAAATTTTTTATGATTTTCATAATCACATATTTGATAAAATTAAACGTCTCATTCCGAATAGTAGAAATCGGTTGTAAGAGTGAAGGAAACTGGAAATTTCATTAAAAATTCATTCATAGTAGATTTGATATTCTAAATTTGACATTTTGCTATGAATGACAGAAAAATTAATTAATTTTTCTGTATTAAACGGTCTTCTTGATACTTGAGCTAAACTATTTAAAATCTCTTGAGCGAAAAAATTGTATGTGTATTATGATAGATTTCGCATGCGAGATTTTAGTATGATATCTCCTAGTTTAAAAAAAAGTCTGGATGACTTTGCAGAGACCGTATAATCTGGTATAGATGACTGATCTTTCAAATTTCTACGCTGTCAACTTTTGATGATATTGTGATTGCAACGGGTGACGGGTATCAAGTTTCGATCCCGGAGCGAAAGCCTGAAAAACGGCTACCATATCTAAGGAAGACACCTGGACCGTAAGTTATACCCACTTCTCGGAAGTGCGTGAATTTGAACTTTAATAATATGGAAATCGTTCAATCGAACACTACTTAGCAAATAAGCCGAATCCTTTCGAATTAAGCAAAGTGTAAAACAAGTAAGCACATTATCGTTGGGCAAGGCCGACTATTAAATACCCTACACCACATAGCCTAAGGCAATTTTTACTTTTCTATGAAATTACTATTATGGGTCAATTTTCATCACCGCATACAGAAGATCAATTGTCATACTATCCAAAAACTAGGCCGAGACGGTCCAATTTTGGTACGGTTAAATTTTTAATGTTAAATTACTATTATCGGATCATTTTCACCGTGAAACATTGAAAATTGTGCCTTTTTGTTGATTGAACTTCAGCATTCGCTATATGAGAGGGGGTTCAAAAATTGCCCTAATCGGTCTTAAGTTTTTATACTAATTTAGAATGCCGAAATACTAATACTTAGCCACTTTTGCCGAGAAATCTTGAAAATTGCAAAGTTTTTCCGTACATGATTTTTCAGAATAGCGCACTATATGGGCTGTGGTCGAACAAGTAGATCGATCCGACCCCTTTTCAATAGCGTTCGCCCTTGGGTCGAAACACGTCACTCTACCAAATTTCACCAAAAATCTCAAAAACTGCGACCTATAGTTAGAACACAAATTATTGGGACAGACGGACAGATAGGCTTAGATCGATATAATAAAAGATGGGTCTACCTTAAGCCCTTCTGCGTATTACATACGTCGGGACAAACTTAGCATACCATGTACGACAAGTGGTGTAGGCTAGAAGTATATTCCACAAGAATTCTCTGATGTCTATTGTACTACTACTAATAATAAATCCGGTTTTATGTCTTCTATGAGAACGCAATTCTTCTATCCAGAATTTGACCTTAAGTGTGCATGAGAATTACTGACGTCTACAGCAAACGAAATTTCCTAAAATATTGTAATATAAGTAAAAGCAAATAAAATTTTGCGATGTTTTACCTGCTGTTGTCATAAAACAAAGGCGACTAGGAATTGACGCAAACATTGGAAAAATTGCAGATAAAACGATTGGAACGACTGCCAAGGGTCATTAGAGTGAATTGTTGTCAAATACACAAACTCTGGCAAAGAATTTCGCAAAGAAGTTTTTTTACAAATAACTTTTCTAAAGATTATAAATAGAATCGGGGCCAATCTTAATTCAGGCAGTCACACAATCAAGTGTTATGAATCTCATTTGAGAAATATTAGGAACGCCGGAATGTTGTTACATAATAATAATGTTGTTACATAATAATAATATTGTTACATAATAATAATGTTGTTATTATGTAACAACATTCCGGCGAGTGCGCTCAAGCAGTAAATTAATTTAAAAGAAATACGAAACAAAGCAAGCAGAAGCTAAAGAATAATAAATGGCACGCTTTAAAAATATTCAATTTCACAAAAAAAATACAAAAACAATTGCCGGCACAAGCACCGTTACGGATTATAATATGTTACCTTTAAGAATTTATTTAAGTAAACAATTAATTTTAACTGACTTAGACATCATTCTAAGTCTAACAGGTGAAGATAGATAGAAACGTTAAATCCCCTACATCACCTCGTTTATTACAGTTATTCATACAACGACATACAACAACAACAAAACAAGGATTTACATTAAAATTGTTTGAAAAAGTGCTCGGATCTAAACCATTTTCAATAACGTTCGTTCCTGGGTCAAAATACAATAATATCTGAAACATTTGCGGCCTGTAAATTGAACACAAGACAGACAGACGGACGGATAAGCTTATTAATATAGTAATGTATAGTAAAAGATGGGTCTATCTCAAGTTCATCTGGATGTTACGTACGTCCGCACAAACTTAATTGTTTGTGCCACAGGCGGCGTAAATCGGAAAAGTAGTTCGACCCGAGCCACGCTCAGCTCCCGCCAATGTACTAAGGTACATCGAAATATCTGCAGTTTGATCGCAAAACAACAAGGGACATAGACGGACAGATATGGTTGAATCGATTTAAAATCACTTTCAGTATAACAGAACAACGTTCTATGTTAAATTTTTATGGATATTGCATGCATCAACACACGTTTAATATACAATTCTGTATCTCAAGTAGTGTAGGGTATACAAAGCATTTTTTTTTTTTTATTTATTTTCTAATATGTTTAGCTCAGACAGAGGGACAGACAAGTAGAATAAAAGGTAGCTCCATATAAATTTCGCTTTTATTTAATGTACCCCCGGTGAAGTAGTCTATACACCGAAACTTTAGTTCAATAAATCATCATTGTTGAGATAAACGATCATCAATTCGTATTCCTTTTCTTCCAAAAAAAAACTCATAATTTCTTTATTGTTCCTTTGGCAAATTTACTTGTTTTGACTTACCCTGCGGGAAGCTTGGAAAATTACTACCCAGTAGAAAGGAAACTTGATGGGCCAAATACTTTACAAATTCATAGTCAATCGTTATATCACTTAATTTTTATGCTACTAACGCATACATGACCTACACCAATACTAGAATTAGTCAACAATTGTTATTTTCGTTGTCATTGTCATTAACATAATAATTAAGTACTCAAGTAAATGCTTCGCTTGCGTTTATAAATAAAATGTGATGCGATACATGGTATAAATATGTCAATGGCGCTGCAATCTATTATTACAGCCTAGTAGTAATATAACTCAATTATTAATTGAGTAAGTGTAAAGAGTGAGAAGCTTCGAATATAACACCTATAGTACAAAAGCCAAATATTTTCCTAAACAAAAAATCATTTTTAATCAAATAAATGATCTGATAATGAAACTTGCTCCAAATAAGTGTGCGCTTCTTTCTGCATTTGTATCTTTAGAATAATAAATCCTCGCGAGTTCCTTTGATGAAACTTAATATTATTATATAATATTTTTATCTTGCAAATGTCATCTGGGATCCGCACAGTCTACAGCGCATTTGTGCCAGCCAGCCAAGAAATATATTTGCCAGAAGAAAATCAACGAAGTTTCAACCGACAGCCCTAAGTCAAGTAAAATCTCCCTTCGAAAGGTCAAACTGTCACGCAACAAATGCACATTTACTAGAGAGATTTGCATAGAAGGGCTGAAAACTTATCCACCCTGCATTCGACTCATTTCTCTGCTGTGCACATACACGTGCAATAAGAAGAAATTAAGAGGAAGTACGAAAAATTTCAATTCTCGTGAAGCAAACAACTTTTAAGAGCCTTACTGTGTCAAAGTAGGGAAGTAGCACCTAAATGAGTCACTTTCATTCGGCCCTGACCAACTTCTAAAGAGTTCACTGCCGGCAAAGCGTAACCTCTTTCAAGATAGTTGAAGAAAACGACTTTCAAGCATCTTAGTGACTTTGCCGCGAAAGTTGGGAAACGCTATCTAAGTGATTCATCTTCATTCGGGTCTGACCAACTTCTCGAGAGGTCACTGCTATGAAAGCGTAGTCTTACTGGTGTAACGTCCAGATCGGCAGTGAGCTATAACGTACTCCAACACAACGCCTTAAAATTTGATCCAGGTATGAAGAACATGACTTGGATCCTTTAAAATAGACATCTCTTCTATGAAATTCACCTATGCAATGGGCATTTCACTTGAATTCAAGCAGAGCAAAGCAGTAAAATGTGGTCAACTTCGACTAAGAGC